TAATTTCAGCACAATTATTTTGCCTTATAATTTTTATGCCTCTTCCTGTGATGACACCTTCTGAAAACAAATTTTTGTTTAGATTTGGTACAAATAATACATTATTTATAGTGCTTTTGTGCCATTCACCATTCTGCAATGCACGTATATTAATTGTGCCTTTTCCTTTTACATCTCTCACCATTGCCTAACACAACTGTGCTTGAAATATTTTCATCAAAGCTACTGAAAAAGTATTTTCTGTATGGCACGTGAGCCGATGCCCCACTATCCATAATCCATTAATCATTTCAAGAAACATTGAGCACAAAATCATCTGTTACTTTACAGTTTTTCCATAATAAATGCTGATTCTTCTACTGAAAAAGCATTCCTGCCAAATCCACCACTGGTTCCACTTTTGTCATTGACTGACATCTTTTTTAGGTTGCCTTTCTACAATTTTTTCTGTACAATTTTGTGCTATGTGACCCCTACGATTGCAGTTATAGCATTTTATCAGAAACTTTCTATTTCTAATGCTTATAGAGTAGCCAAAGCCTCAGATTCTTCAAAAGCTGTCAGGCTCTTTTCTTCATCTAATAAACGAGCTGTCAAGTTTGTTATGTTTTGTTTAGTTTCGTCAAGTGATATAGTTGAAATCACGATAGAAAGTGAAGTTGACAGTTCGCGTTGACATTTCTAGTAAACTTTTTCTTTAGGTTGCCATCATGCGTTAGCGCTTCGATTCCGTCAGCTGGGATAAACAACAGGGTCGTATTTAGAAAAGTGATATACATTTCAGAATAAAAATTTATTTTCAATTTCTTTAAAGGAAGTTAAGTTATTAAAATCTAAAAATCCAAAAATTAGAGTCCAAAGTAAACACTTATAAAAAGGGTAAACACTTAAATCCAAACTAAAACCAGGTTTGAAACGCAACACCGAAACACAAAGGCACAGAACACTACATAAAAAACCAAAAAAACCGATTGCGCTAATAACAAATAAAAAAATAATGCAGAAAACGGCAAAAAACTGAACGATTTCACACAAAAATTCGAAATTCAAAATTCAAAGACACGAATCTGATATTTTTATTTGTCAAATCAAAATGTCATGTATCATTATTTGATAGTTGTCAGGCAAAGGGACAGATCTGGGGATTTTATTTATTTTCAACTGGTGAAAATAACGGTCAAAATTCAAACTCTATCGTGAATACGACTATAGCCCTGCTTGCCTGAAGTTTCGAAATTTGGGGGGTAAAGTACTAATTATCTTCATCATAATAGCTGCATTGCTCACGGTCTCGCCTGCTTCTTTGACCTATTTAGCTAAGTTTTCAACCTTCGCAATGTGTTGTGCAATTGTATCCTTGCTACACATTTTGTACTGATGGAAACGTTCATGTACAATCATCTTATTGGTTTCAGTCTTTTGCAAATATATTGAATCTAGTTTATCCAATATCTCTTTGCTTGTTTCGCAATTTTGGGGGCGCTGGCGTTTGTAAACAAATATAGCAGAAAACGAGTAATATTTTGACGTTCAGCATTGTATTTATATGCATTTGTATTTCTTTCGCTAATTTTATCGTTGTTCTCGTAGTTTCGGTGGTTTTTTACTATATTTTTTGAATTTTGATCGTTGTGACTTTCTTTTGTGCAGTTCGTATCGATACAACACGAAATGTGGAAAATGGAGGCCTGTCTTTGAGTTTGGCCACAGTTTTTCTCCGATCTATCACCTCTTCTTGTCCCAGTACATTCAAAATTTTCACGCGATCACTATTTTTCTTAGGAAAATAGAGAAAATGAATAGTTCAGTCTGCATCTTTTCGGGAATGACATTCGTATACACAGCAGTTTGTGTTGTGCTGGGACTTTGAGGCGGATGCTATCGAATTTCTGTAATAAGCACCTCACAGAATCACAATAAAAGCTTATTTCCCACTTTTCGACACAAAACACGTCGTAATTTGAATTAGGAACGAACAGAAAACATCGAAAAAGCAAGAAAATATTCCAATACGGTATGTAAACAAACAATCTATCACTCGTTAAGTTTTCCGCCAGGTGCCGCATGGATTTTTGAAATCGCCAATAAGCATAATTGTTGTAAAGAAGAGTTGTAGTTTATTTCTATAATGTACTTATGGATGGAGCTGTATTCAACCTTTGACAGATGAGGCAGCTATTATTTAATCAGTCAATATATTGTACTTTTCAGTTGCAGAAGAACCGACGTGCTTTTCATTTTCCCGTTTTTCCTGCCTTTCTTTATAGGTTATGGGCTCAGGAATAGCTTTTTCCGCATGCAAAATCGGGTGTAATTTGAACAATTCAAGTAGTTGTTTCAGTTTCGTGCGAAAATGTCGGTTAATTATCTCGCGAGTGTGCCGCATGTCTGCCGAAGCTTCTCGGGCGAGAAAATTACGAAGAGTGGTCGTCTGCCGTGGAAAACTGTTTCGTGATTGAAGGATTGACGAAATGTGTTGACGGTACTGTGTTGATTGGAAAAGCAAAAGCTAAATTGATCCTGACTATTGATCCATCATTGTACGTACACGTCAAAGACGCAGGCACGTGTTAAGACGTTTGGAACAAAATCAGCAAGCATTATGCAGACACAGGATTTGCAAGAAAAAATGGTTTGATCAGAAATCCTATATCCTTGAGACTAGATAACTGCGATAGCATGGAAATCCATGTCAATCAGGTGATTGAAACAGGACAAAAATTGAGAAAAACCGGTATTAATATTTCAGAAGAATGGATTGGCTTTTTGTTGTTGGCAGGGTTGCCAGATAAATATTCACCAATGCTCATGGCAATCGAAAATGCAGGAATTTCAATTACAAGTGACGTAATCAAACGCAAGTTGCTCGACATGGACACAGATGGCTCTAGCAGTAAAGGTGGAGCTTTTGTTGTCAAAAGTAAAAATTTTCGAAAGAAACCCAAAGATGGCGCTAGCAGCAATAGAAATGCTAATGGAACAGCTGATAAAAGAGACAAAAGAAATATGTTTTAGATGTAAACAAACTGGACATTTCATGTCAAAGTGCCCTTTAAATACCCATAGTTCGAAATCCGATGAAATTCGGGCGCAACTAGACACATGACGCCAAATAAAAATTGGATTAAAAACTCATCACAGTCGGTTATTCGGGAAATTATTGTGGCAAATAAGGAGAAACTCGTTGTGGCATGTTCAGTCGATTTGGACATAGTGCAGGAACGGCATAAAACGAGACTTTGTCGCGATTAGAACGGCTCCCACAACTATAAGTACAATACATTAATACATAACGTAGGCATTTTTCGAAAAATCAACATTTTTCATTTTACTACTTTACACAAATCAACAATCGCAATAAAACGTAGTGAATAAACCTCAATGGTTTAAATAAACACACTTCACAGAGTACAGACGCTTGGCATTGGCCTCCATGTTGAACTTTTTTTGACAGCTCGATGGATTGCCTTATTGGGAAATGGCAAACATTTTCGTTCCAGCAGAAATTTGTTGCCAACTTAAAAACATCTGTCACCAAAAAATTTAACTGTTAGGTTAATGTCACCAACATGTTTCCAACTTTTTGCTGGAACAAACCTAATGGAAACACTAGCTAGTTTTTAGATAGACTGGACTGGCACAATGGACTGGTGACAAGAGGTTCTTGTCAACCAGTGTATGTCAAGATTGTAACTTGAATTGTATGTCTCTTCCTAATAAAAACCTATTATAACGAACCCAAGAGTATCAGTGGAAATACACAACAAGTTTAAGTGCTCGAATTTATCATTTTTAAAACTACCTTTTTCTGGAATTAAATATATATTTCAAAAAATAATTTTTTTATGCGTACTCTTATGGGAGCCTTTGCTTCTAATAAAATAGCTCTACGTATTTCTTGGGAATACGTAGAGATTCTTAACACATGTTTGTGCCACCTTGCTCCAATGCTTTTAGATAGGGCGTTACCTATCTTGTCACGTTAGTAGATATTAAATCTATGGATATACCAAACTGAAATCTACGCCATACAGGCTCAGGAGAATATCCAGAGAGGTTACTGGATCACGCATATTTATGTATGCAGCGACAGCCAGGCAGCACTCCAAGCCCTTGGCTCAGACAAGGTCAACTAGTGGCTCACGTTTGACTGTATAACAACCCTTAAGCTTAAGCCCACTGGCTCAACAAGGCCACCCTTATTTGGGTCTCGGGTCACAGAGATATAAAAGGCAACGAGGAGGCAGACCAGCTGGCTTATGAAGGTAGCAAGACTGCCTTTATTAGGCCCGAGCCTACTCTTGGGGTTGCTTCCTGCCTGCGGAAAGCCAAGAATAGGAACCGGTCTAACAACCGGTTCCAAGACGAATGGCTGGAACAGGAAGGCGAGTCAAAGATCTTTAAACAAGGTCCTTCATACTGCAATGAGACAAAAAGCCTCCTTAAACTGAACAGGAGCCAACTGAGAGTCATCACAGGTGTCCTGACGGGACACTGGGTGGTCAGATACCAACTACACTAAATCGGACTCAGCAATGAGATGGAATATAGCGTCTGCAGCGAAGTAGATGAAACTACCAAGCATATAGTCTGCGAATGTGACGCCCTCGTCAGCTGAAGCATGTCTGGCCTGAGCGGGTCTGTGCCTTTCTTAATAGTTGCGGGCTCCTAAGGTAAGACAGGGCTGCACCAAGAGGGGGATAGCATAATGGACTACATGTTCGTATACGTGCTGCCTGTAGAGGCTCCCTTTTCAAATCAATCAATCATGGTTATTTCAATTTCGTTTCTCTGCTCTCATAACCTATCAATCAATTTATTAGCTCTAGAGCCAAGTTAATTCCAGGATCGTTCCAATTTATTCACTAAAACAGACATTCGGTTGCATCCATTGTATCATCTTTTAAATTCATCAATTGATAATCAAAGGGTCATACCAACGCAACAAAACAAATAAGTACATTTTACCAACACCATTTATTTTATTTTTTTTATTTTTTCACTACAAATTGCTGAAAGCTATAAAATACGTACATAGATTTTGTCCAAGTAAAAAAGCAAGTCGCCTAATCTCCACAATTTCGCCTATGTGATAACAACAATGGTAACTGTTACGTCAATTGCTACAAGGGTAGCAAGTCCGTTGCACCAACTCAAAATTTCTGTGACCGCCTCGAGCTGAATAACGGCTACTCCAAGTTCAACTTCTGATACTAGTTGGAACACTCCTACGATCAACTCTTGAGTCTCAGAAGCGCTCAACAATAATTCTTTCAAGTTCAGATTTTCAATTTCAAGGACGGCTTCCAAAACCAAAATAATGTTACTAATAATGGGCAATTCGCAGGAAGCAGCGTATAAATCTTCGGATAGTTCATCTATCAATTTTTCAATTGCTTCTAGAGCGGCTTCCAGTAAGCTACAAATGCAGCCTGGACGTCCAAGATCCAATCCCAAAGAAATTAGATTTCTGATCTGAAATGTAGATGGTTACTACTAATAGTAAATATTGAAAAAAGGTAGGTACTTACACCCGTAGCACTGTCAAGTTGAACGATGAGAACGAAAAGAAGTTTTGGAATACTTTGGGAGGGATCTACAATAGGAGACAAGCTTTGCAAGACAGTGACAATAACACCAAGTAACTTTTCTTTTGGTACGATAACGCCAGCAAGAATAGTTGAGATGATGTCGGAAATATTAACTCCATCTAAAATACAGAATAATTTAAATAATTACATTTTAGACTACAACAAAGCACATACCAACAACTAATTGCTCTTTTAATAGATCTTGGACAATCGTAACCAAGCCGTTAAGCGTTTCAGTGCAACGAATCTGTTTCAAAGTTTCCAAAAGATTCGACAACGAGTTTCTTAAATGGCTGCTAAGATCATCCTTGACTACTTCGCTGGATTCGGCTACAACTTGAATGAGGATACTGATAACACGTTCCAATTTTGAATTGCCATTGGCATAAGCGAGAATCTCTCCAACAACCTATTCATAAAAGCAATAGAATCGATTGAATACAAACATTCATACTTACCCTGAAAACACCAGTGATTCCCACATTACTATTTCCTCCAAACTGAGCAATAAGTTTGGCCAACGATTCCGGATTTCCAAGAAGGTCGTTCAAAGCAGATAGATCATCGATTTCTGACAATACACGCAATGTGTCGCTAAGAGCAGCTAAACCATCACGAGCTCCCAAAAGATTTCCAATATCAATCTTGCCGTTTCTGGTTATGACATCTTGAGCTGTTTCATCCAAGTATCCGTTAAGCGTATCAACACCTTGAAGAACATTTAGGACTCCACTGATATCGATGGAAAGTTGAATTTGTTGGTCTCCAACAGCCTAATTAAAAACAATATAATTTTGCTATAATCTAATTTAAATAACTTACTGCAAGAATTCCTTTTAGACTCCCTTCAAGTAAGGTGTCAATACCTGTAGCAACAGACAATACAAGTTCCAGAGCTAATTCTGGACGTTGTTCTAGTTCAGGGACTATAGAAACTACCAAATCAACTACAATGTTTTTGATTTCCGTCAAAATACTTATGTGTACACGGGGAATAGAGCAATCCGTGCCGCTTGGTCGGTTCAAAAGGGTTGAAATGTCATTGTCAATAGAGCTTAGATACTCGGTTAGAGATTGTTGATCAGCATCCCAAAGACCATCAGGAATAAGATTACCTTTGTTTCTTTTTTGGCTGATGACAATGCCAGAACTTTCACCACCTTTTGAAAGAAATGCTTTACGTAACTAGTTTTTCAATTAAACAATAAACTTTTACCGTCCAATAGAAGAATTACATCCTGTTCTGTGTCAATAAGGATGGCCCTGTTGGAGGTGGTGTTTCTGATAATCAAAATGTCGTTGAGGACGGATAGAGTCAAATCAAGGGTGGGTTCTGAACCTCTTTTCACTAGTCTAGTCTGACCGGCGCTTGGAACTAGCCTACTCAGACCGACGCCTGGAACTAGCCTACTTGGACCGAAGCTCTGAGCTGCCAAACTGCGTTCCACTAACCCACTCTGACCGAAGCCTTAAGTATTAAGTTGATTGAATAATATTAACTGCCAAAATTTCAGGCGATTATTTTTATATGGAAAACTTACCAATAAAGAAGTTGCTGGAGAGCAGGCAGCTTACAATAACGGAAAAGATTCTACTATTCATGTTGGTTTCTGGAGGTAGACAGTTCACTAATAGGCCTTCTGCCAGAACCACTTGCCATTTTATACAGTCCAAAAAGCTAAAAAAAATGCCATTATTATAGTACAAATTACCATTTATCGATAAATATAAATAAGGATTATCATTTTGTAAAAGCCATTAGTCTTAAAATTTATTAGAAATTTGTAACAAAAGTACCTAAATGAATATTTTTTTTCAGGTAATAAATTTTAATTTTCACATATTCATGGACGTCACGCAACGTACTTAGCGACAAGTAACTTTTTTTTGGATAAAATGAATCCTAAATTTTTAATATGAAATAATGCGGAAAATCTCCTTTTTCCACTCTTCAATTTCACGAGCTTTGGTAACTATATTTTGTCTAGGAGCGTGTAAAACAATATTTAAAAAAACCTGCAGCTCGACCTATGCATCGATTGATCTAAACATTCATGGGACATGTGCTACCAGAGTTAAGGAGAATCCTAGAAAGCCGATTCAAGGAAAAACACACACAAAAAAGAATAAAGTGCGATGCACAACCAAGCATCAGGAGTAGAATAATTCGAGAAGAGAAAAATAACTTACTACTACTTGAACAATTTGAGAACTAAACTTGCAGACCCAGTAATTCATATGAAAGCAACGTAAACAGACTATCAGATGATGGCGAACTCCCCAAGTAGCTAAAAGTAACACTGAAAACAGAAGGTTTCATAAAGAATACTGAACTCGAACCTTGGCGCGGAACAGGATTGCCTTAAATCACCACAGCTCAAGGCTCAAGGTCGTCCTCGATGAGAATAGCAGAAGTCAATTTGAATACTTGGCATGGAACTCAATTCAGAAGCCAAACGACAATGATGTCACCAACGCAACGGAAAGATGTTGATCACGTTGGCGGGAGAATGGTAGTTCAATCAACATTAAGACAAAAAGTTGAGCCAATGCCATAAGAAAAAAGTTATCAGGTCATGGAACCACGTATCAGATATTACGTCACCCCTCAGAAAATTCAAATGATTGGTAGAAGATTAAAATGTCGTTAGAGTTACTGGCTCAGCTAACAAAATGATCAAACAGATAACAAGGAAATTTTATTTATTGCCAACTCTATATTGTGATCAGATCAGTTTTCACAATACTGGAAGCATGCGGAAATCATCAGGCTAAGTAAGCATAGAAGGACCAGAAGTTCCAACAAAACAAGCCCTAACTAGCATCAAACTTATAGAAACTCTCGGGTAAGAGCAAACACTTTCTCGATACAAGATAAAACCACTCTCCTTTTTTATTTGAAGAGGTTTAATTTTATATGCCATCAGGATTCAACACGCGGATGTGGTGGTTTAATGTGTATGCTATTCGAGAAAAGCCTCTTGAGCAAGATTTGTCTAAAGCCGGTTTTCCACGACGCGTAGCTGGACGAGCCTGTTCAGACAAGTCAAAGGAATGCGAGCCTGTTCAGGCTTGGTTCGTATCCTTTCAGCGATGATTGCAACGATCCACAGGTCGTGAAATCGTATCCACTTGCCTCGATCATCAAGTCGATTCTGGACGAGCCACGACAAACTCAAACCACAAACCAGGCGCTGTGGAATACCGGCTTAAAAGATTCCACCATCTATAGGGCAAAAAAAAATTGAGTCCGAATGTGTTCGCATGTGTTGCACTGACAAGTACTAATGAGTTCGAGACCGCTTTGTAGCTAGCGACATCGATTGGAATTGAATTTCACTTAATTGTCTCGAAGAGCACCAGTCACGTATACCTAGTATAATCTAGCAGCATTTTTCCCTCGGCGAGATAATTTGGACTTGGGTCGGGAAAAATAAAAAGGTGGTCACTTCAAAGGAGCTCAAAGCCAAAAAATACTGCTTATCTCTCCCTGAATCAATTCTAGTTTCCTCATAGAACCTTGAGCATAGAAGGGTCGCGTAAGAGCATTAGACAGGGTAGAAAGATCTCTTTTCTATAGAAGGGACTTCCAACTGAACCCAAGGACTTGCATCTATGTCGACAGACGGAACGAGTCCAGTCTTATAGCTAAGTTTTGCTCTAGACACCTAGTAGCTGTAAAGCTATGCCTCAAGGACACACTGGGAGAGAGCAAATCGATAGTAGTTTCCTCGCCCTATCTGCCCTATGACTCAACAAATGATCCCCCAACAAAAGAGTTCATCGATTTGGTGGAGAACTGTAACTCAATGGGTCTTCCGTTGATTGTCGGATGCGATCCGGCAGCCGCCAAGCTCCAAAAGATTCTCTCAAATAACCCAGGATGAGAGCTGGGGTCACTAAGGCTTCCCTGCGGTAGTTATAGCGCTACCACACAGGAGGCACTTGGTTGGCTCCTGGAAATACACTATCCAGGCTCTGAAATCCTGCAAACTGGTGAACCACCAACGCACGCTCCACAAGCTGGCGGAAGATAGCTGCAAGATTGGTATCAGAAAACTCCGTAAGATGGGCCATCCACTCATTTGGAGCTTTTAGAAGTGCGGGACCAGATGGAATCTTTCCGGCTCTTTTACAAAAGGGGCTGGAACTACTGATTCGGCACCTAATACGCCTCTTCAGGTCCTGATCAAGTACTACATTCGCGGCGTCAAGTGGTATTTATCCCCAAACCAGGACGCTATAACTACGAATCGGCTAAGGATTACAAACCCATCAGTCTATCCTCGTTTCTTCTAAAAACGCTGGAGAAACACATTCATCAGGGAAGGGACATTGAAAGTAATGCCCATGCCCCCTAATCATCACGCCTACAGGACTGCCATGTCAACTGAGACGGATCCCCACAGTCTTGTGGCAAGACTGGAGCGAGGGATGTCTCATAAAGAGATGGCTCTGGGTGTATTTCTAACACCTCATTCGACTCTATAGAAAATGCTGCAGGAAGTTTTGGCATAGAGAACACCATTGTCAAATGGATCTGTATCATGCTGAAAAGCAGAGTCGTTACAAGCTCGATTGGTAGTGCGAAGATCAGCTCAATCGTAGCTAGGGGTTGCCCGCAGGGGGGTGTACTGTCGCCTCTGATGTGGTGCCTGGTACTGGATGCGCTGCTCCGCAATCTGAACGAGGAAGGTATGTAAACTCAAGGCTACGCGGACGAAGTTGTCATCGTTGTGGCTGGTAGGGTACCCAGCAGCATCAAAGGAATCATGTGAAGAGCTCTTAACATGGTAGAAAGATGGTGTAAAAAAAATAACGAGCTTTCCGTAAATCCGGACAAGACCGAGATAGTATCATTTACAAAGCGAAGAAACGTGGACCTGGAAGGTTCTTTAGATCGAGACTTGTTTCATCCAGTATGGTCAAATATCTGGGAGTTATCATTGACTCTAGGCTGATTTGAAAAGATTACGCCAGCTTAGTCTAGTGGAACGCGCTTAGCAAATCCACCTACAGGCCAAAGCTAGACAAGCTCCAACGACTTTCCTGCATGAATTATGTGACCATCCATCCCTATAATACCACGTAAAATTCAAGTCAACGTTCTGCACTTTCAGCAAGAAAGAAGCTACAAAACTAGTTTCCATGCCGCTTCGCCTCAGTCAGTCTGAAGCTTTCGCTCTAGGCTTTTTAATTATTAATCTATGTAATTTTCGTAATAAATAATATTTTTTAAAAATAGACATTGGCATTCCGGTTATCTAAGTGACGCACACGTGACGCAGTCGGTAGGATTTTCCGAAGTTTTACGGTCGATTCGAAAAACGTTCGTTTCAACGATTTATCGGAAATCGAACATTGGTTCGTTCTAGTTACGCAAGGAGGCAGGAATTTGGAGGACAAAATCGTCGCCCATTGGACCTGTCCCTTATAAGTTACCATAAGGATGCTGATCGTCTGGTTGTTGATGTAAGTACAACTTATAACGTTGATGTCTGTCGAAGATTTATCTGATATATTGAATAAATTGACAATCACTTCAGCTGACTCACCAATATCTAATACGGTAGACTGCATTCCAAGTACCGCAGGTACATCGTCAAGTAACAATTTTGAATTAATAGATAATAAATCAATCAGAATGCCTGTATTCAAACCAGAGTATTTAAATAAGCTGTGATTTAAACTCTGTTCCCACTTTTGATGGGAACCCTAATGACCTTAACAGATATTTGGCGACATGTGACAGCCTAATTCGAACTTTCTATGATACGGCAGAATCTAGTAAATTCGAAAATATCTATCTAATTAATTATTTGATAGGAAAGTTAACTGGTACAGCTAAACTAGTACCTAATTAATATTCAAAATGTGTCCAATTGGGACGACTTGAAATCGACGAACAAATTGATTTAAATGATATTGACAATTTTGAAAACCCCGAAATCGATATTTCCAAATTAATCAGAAAAGAACATATGAGTTCTGAAGAAAAAATTTAAATCACGCAATTATGTAGAAAATTCTCAGATATTTTTTATACAGACGATACACCTCTCACTTTTACAAATGACATAAAACACCCTATCAACACCACCGATGGAAGCCCAATCTATACTAAAAGCTATCGATACCCGTTCATTCACAAACAGGAGGTCGAGAATCAAATAAAAAAGATGTTAGACCAAAATATAATAAGACCTAGCAAATCTCCCTGGTCCTCACTAATTTGGGTTGTCCCCAAAAAACTCGATGCAAGCGGTAAGCAAAAGTGGCGTGTAGTTGTCGACTACCGCAAGCTTAATGAGAAGACCGTGGACGATAAATACCCGCTTCCCCGAATTACGGAACTTTTAGATAAACTGGGCAAATGCCAATATTTCTCCACTTTAGGCCTTGCGAGTGAGTTTCATCAAATCCAAATGGATGAAAAAAGTATTCCCAAAATAGCTTTTAATTGTGAAAACGGGCAATATGAATATATAAGAATGCCCTTTGGGCTCAAAAACGCCCCCGCCACGTTCCAGCGCGTTATGGATAACGTGCTACGCGGATTACAGATCGAAAAATGCGCTGTTTATTTAGACGCAGGGCCCGCTTTAAGGGAGGGCAACCCGGGCATTTGCCCGGAGCGGCAAAATTTGGGGCGGCATTTATATCGATAAAACA